CACTGCGCCAGTTTCAAGGACTGGTCAGTGAGCCGTGTAGGCAGTAGGGGATTTGATGTTTCATTTGCCTCAGTTTCCCACATCACCACGGCAAGCACTTAAACCCCCTTCCTGTGTTCTTGGGCGGCCAGGAGTGTCCGAGGAACATCACACAGTTCCATGGTGGGGGGGGGTGGGGGGGGCTGTCAGCCTGTGCTCTTCCCTCAGCCCGCCCCATGCTCCCTCATCATATCCCCCCTGAACAATTTTGACCTGAGATCTTCAGGGTTGCTGCAGGTGGAAGGTCTCGTCTTCTGTGGCTTCTTCCCGCTGAGTGGGGGTGTAGAGACATCCCCAGCCATACGGGTGAATATGGGTCAGCTGGGAAACATATAGGGGAGTTACAAAAGGCAGAGGCAGCTGAATCCAACGTGGGCAACGTGTGTGAACCTTCTTGAGTAGAGAGGATCATCTGCTCGCCCGAAGTCATTGCAGTGATGAGTCTTGGCACCAGGCAGGGAGACACAGGAGAAAACGGCAAAACGTAATTAGAACAACTAGAAAGATCAGCCCAAATAAGCCCTTTGATAGCTGACGAACATCTTCTAGTCCAGGAGTTCGACCAATCACTGAAGGAAAGAGGGAATGTTTCAGAGCAAGTGGAGTGTCTGCGTCAGGCAGAAATCCAGAAACATTTCTCTGGTCATCTGGAGCATACACACAGCATTTTGTTTGCACGAGAGTGTAAGTTCCACATCGTGCAGCGGTCAGCACATCTCGTGCCATTCTGGTTAGTAGAACGGTTTTATGTATTGGAGTTATTTTCGTATTTAATACCGTAATGTTATCTTGAGAGCCGTTTAAAGCCTCCACTGTGTAACAGGCAGTGCGTGGCCATCCTATAGACTCTGCTTTGTTTAGTAAACACTCAGCTAATTAGTAAGAGGTATCTTTACAGCAACAAGAAAAACAGAGGTGAATGGTTAGAGCGCATTTCAAACCCAGTGTCTCCCGGTGCTGCCAGTGAGATTTTGAGATGTCAGGCTTGAAGCCTCCTCAGATGGGAGTGGGAGCACACAGCAGCAATCGGATTGGTCTTTCTGGCTTGTAACTCACAGGTCTATGGTGGTCCTTTTGAGTGGCCCATTGCAAGAAGGAATTGTTAGTAGAAATGGGGAATGGAGAACGATGAAGAAAGGTACAACCATCCTAAGAGAAGTTTGAGGTCTTCCGCAGGCTCACAGAAATAAGAAGGCACATTAGGGGCGCCTGGGAGGCTCAGTCGGTTAAGCGGCCGACTTCGGCTCAGGTCATGATCTCGCGGTCCGTGAGTTCGAGCCCTGCGTCGGGCTCTGTGCTGACAGCTTGGAGCCTGGAGCCTGCTTCGGATTCTGTGTCTCCCTCTCTTTCTGGCCCTCCCCTGTCTGTGCTCTGTCTCTCTCTGCCTTTCAAAAATGAATAAATGTCAAAAAAAAATTTTTTTTTAAAAGAAGGCATATTAGTTTGCTCATTGATTTCCTGTGAAGGGGGTACAGGTTTTATTTTAGGTACAGGAGCCCATGAAGAGTGCCCCTCTAACTTCACTGCATAATATGACCCAGCAGGGGCCCTTTTATTTTGGAGTTAAATCCCCTGTTGTATTAGACTTTGCATCCTTTGAGAAAACAAGGTCTTTGGGGTTGTATGGGGTGGGTTTCTAGGACCTGTCAGATCAGGTTTAGGGAGAATATGGTTGGCATGTTTAGAGATTTATGAATTCACGCAGCCTGAAGTGAATAATTTATTAAAGCACTGTAGTCTTTATCGGCTGATAGGTCTATAGTGAGAAAAGTCTTTTTACGTACAACTGTTAGGCGAATCCATCCCATTTCCCAGTTGTTTAAACGATATGCCCATGGGGTCCTGTTACCATCCCCACAGGATAACGAGAAGATTGTCCATACCTGTGCTATTGCGACAGTTTTTCTGATGTTTACCTCAAGTCGTCCAGTTTAGGCAAACAAACACTTAAAGACAATCGGAACTAGAATTTGACAGCCATAAGGGTGCGTTATGGAAACATGGTTTTTCTCTCTAAAAACCGTCATTTCCAGAGACGGCCAAATCAAGACCGATTCGTCTGTAGAACAAGTCCAGTTTTAACAAACTTGACCTAATTATTTACGTAAGTTCAGCAAGAACAGTGGTTGATCATATGGATGTCTTAAAGTTTGTTTTGCCGGAATCTTTTATACGGAATTCTCAAGATTGCACTCTTAGTAGCTTCTCCAGGCCAGAAGCCAAGCCAAGTACTTCCGTCAGACAGGCCTCCAATTCCTGTGGAATTGGGCAAATTCCTCTCCACGAGGTCCCCAAGACATCCTGCGTTTCCTGCACCTGCCAGGAAGTGACTTTCTTTGCTCACCTGGTGAGGCTGCTGGGAACTCCGTAAGCAAGGTATCAGGCCCACATTTCCCAGGGGCTTTATGGCTCCGTGTTTCATAAAGTCAACCTTAGCTCCTTAAAGCCGGATGGTCATATCTGAGTCTATGCAAGTCAGTCCCAAATAGAACATTCCAGTCAAAGTCTTGGTAAAATAGCCAGTATTTCCAGTGGTGTCCTGTTACGAGGAAAACAGATTTTTATTGAACTTATGCAAACAATTGTAATTGCCATGAAAGAAAGAACACTCCCTGAAACTGTTTGAATTTTAGAGGGTTTAGGTAGAGAGAAAAGTTAAACTGCTTCCGTTTACGGTCCAATACACCCAAATAGCCGTAGTTCCTCTGCAATAAGAGGTTAAAAGCGCAAACGTATGTTCGGTTATCAGAGCGTCAGCAACTCCATCCCATGTGGAAAAGACCCAGGTGTCCAATGAGTTCAGTCCCATTTATCATGCAAAACCTTAAAGTTTCAGGTTACCAAAGACTCCGAAAGCCATCTTAACAGTTACCCATGAAAACTTTGAGACAGACAAAATTAACCATCACCTTAAGTCATCTTTTTGCTAAGAAATTGCAACAGAGATAACACGAGCTTATTTGACTTTAGTAAACCTGGGTAGAATCGAGGTTTCATATTTAATGCCGATAACTCTAAACACAGGACTATCTTGATTAAACCAGCAAACTTAAATTAGTTCACACAAATGTGTTTCACCTGTGTCCACTTAAAAGTCAGTCAGGTTTTCCCCACTGTCAGATTTTACTGGGACACTGTCTGAAGTGGGTGGTCCAAGAGGGTGCTCTTTGCTCCTTGACCTTGAGGGTGGGAGGAGCCGGCAGTGGCTGAGGCACTGAGGATGGTACTGGAACCATCCGCACCCCAGGTCGTGTCGCACCCCAGGTCGTGCCGGAGCAGGAGCAGGAGGGAAAGGCAGAAGAGGCGAGATGCCACCAAGCAGGTAGAGAAAGAGCGTTCCAGGTTCTTGAACCTTGTCGGCCGGGACAGAGGAGCAGACGTCATGTCCCTCTCACTCTCTTTTCCATCAAGAAGGCAGATGTTTATTCGGCTTCCTGCCTCTCCTCCCAGTCACCAGTTGCTACTGGAATTTTTGGTAGCCCTGTGAGAGCCAGGCTTCAGCCTTGCAGGAGAATTTAAATGCACCATTTAGAAAGCCGTGGCCACCCTCCTCTCCTACCTGCTTCACATCATAGACAGACTGCAGCCTGGGTCAGAACGTCCAGGGGCAGGGACCCGCCCTACATCCGGGTTTTGCAAACTACAGGTTCATGGGCAGGGAATTCAATACAGTAGAAGGGAATCAGCAAGAGGAAAAAAGTGTGCGCACATGGCAGAGATTAAGCACTTAAAAAGAAATGCCACCAGGGGCGCCTGAGTGGCTCAGTCAGTTAAGCGTCTGGCTCTTTTTTTTTTTAATGTCTGCGTTTTTATTTTTTATTATTTTTTTTTAATTTTTTTTTCAACGTTTATTTATTTTTTTGGGGGGGGACAGAGAGAGACAGAGCATGAATGGGGGAGGGGCAGAGAGAGAGGGAGACACAGAATCGGAAACAGGCTCCAGGCTCCAGGCTCCGAGCCATCAGCCCAGAGCCCGACGCGGGGCTCGAACTCCCGGACCGCGAGATCGTGACCTGGCTGAAGTCGGATGCTTAACCGACTGCGCCACCCAGGCGCCCCTGCATTTTTATTTTTGAGAGAGCATGTGAGCAGGGGAGGGGCACAGAGAGAGGGAGAGAGAGAGAATCCAAAGTAGGCTCCGTGCTGTCAGTGCAGAGCTTGACGTGGGGCTCAAACTCACGACCGTGAGATCATGACCTGAGCTGAAATCAAGAGTGGGACGCTTAACCAACTGAGGCCCCCTGCCAAGAGCCCCAAGACTATTTCTGGAGGAAGCTGGAACAGCAGTTAGATTAGGGGTGAAGCCCTGGTTTGGTGACTTGGCCTAAGGGGGTCCGTTTGGAACCCTGGCTCTAACATGTGTTCTGTCTGCTCTCGGCATATGGAGGCAGGTGGAGGGTGGACACAGACCTGGCTGGGAACTGGCAGCTGGGCGGGGCTGGGAGTGGGGAGCTGACAGGTGGGATCAGGGAGCAGGGAGCTGGGAGCAGGGAGCTGGGCAGGGTTGGGCACGCCCAGAGCCCTCAGGTGGGAGCATCCTGGCTTGTAAATTTGGGGGCATCTTCTTGGTCTTCATGTTTACCCAGCAAATCCCTGCCCAGTCCCATGACTGTGGTTCCTTCCATTTTGTGCCCATCTCCCTGATTCGGGAGCCCTTGACCTCATCCTCTCTGCCCTGAGCCCTGGAGGAGAGAGGGAGGGCCCTCAGGGTCGGGTCGTGAGCAGGAGCTCTGGCCTTGGACTTGCCTGACGTAGCCTGTGTTTGTTTACCTCTGAGACGCTGTGCCAGGTGAGGATGAAAAGGAAGAAACACCGAATACACACAGCCGCCCTCACAGGCAGAGCCCACGGGCACAGGACTCCTGACCCACCTGGAGAGCAGGGGGCATTAACCCGTGTGTGAGGTCGGGTCTCCTCATCGAACACTGCAGTCCCCACACCTCGTTTGTTCTTTTCCCCAGAGGTCCACGCTAATCCTGCGCCTTTTATGAACACCGACGAGTCCAGCCGTCCTCTGGGTGCGCGGACACGGGCGGAAGGAGACCCGGGACTGGAGAAACCACCCTCGCTGGTGTCGCTGGTGTCGTGGGACAAGGTATTGGCGTCTGGGGAGCTCGGGTTTGCTCCCTGAGCAACACGCGTGTCTGGTGCAGCCCTGGAAAGCCTCCCGGGTGCGGTAGGAGCCGGGCAGATGTGGTTTCAGCCCCGTGTGCCACGTCCAGGGAGCGGGGTTCACTTGCAGATCTGGAATCCTGTCGTGAGAAGCCGGGATGCGTTCCGGAGACAGAAGTGGGGACGGGCTGCACCCCAGGGGGCTCCCAGGGGGCCCCCAGGGAGCCGAAACCCTATTTGGGGGCCCCGGGGGAGCTCTTTGAAGGCCTCTACTGGTAAGACTAGACTACCTGGATGTCTGAGCAGGTGCTTCTGTGTCTGGCTATCAGAACGGCCCACAGCAGTCGGGGTGGAGAGGATGGGACAGACGGTGTCAGTGGCGTGAGGAGGTGGGGAGTGTCCTAGGAGAAGCTGGGGCACAGCAAGCAGCGTGGGGTGCGGCGGGCCCTGAGAACGAGGCTACCTGTGCCCGATGCAGTCCGGCTAAGAGTGAGCTCTGACTGCTGCCAGCCCAGAGCTCTGCCTTTGTCCTGATGGAAAGGAGCCCCTTCTGCAGAAGCTCCCAGAACCTCCCCGCCCCTTGGCAGAGATTATCCTGCAGCTGTTTCTGGTACTCCCCATGTGGGTCCCCAGAACTCCTCTTTGGGGTTCCCAGTAACCCCCATGGGGTCCCCAGTACTCCTCATAGAGGTCTGCATGCAGTATTCTATACGGGGTCCCCAGTACTCCCCACGTGGTCCCTCGTACTTGTCATGGGGTTTCCAGTATTCCCCAGGAGGTCCCCTGTCCTGTACACAGTACCTCTAAGGGCATTTGTATCTGAAAATTAACCTCTGTCAGCCCATTCTGTTCCCGTTGGGAGCTCTTCCAGGCTCAGCTGCCACTTTGTGAAAGTTCACAGGGATCGTTTCAGGTTAATCCGGAAGGATGTCTGCAACGGGGAACTTGTAATGATCTGAGAGCAGGGTCCGGGAGAAGTTTGTTGGGGTGCGTTCCCAGACACAAGTGGACCCTGGTACTGTGGGTTTGTTGTGGACCTGGTGTGGGTGCCCCACCCACACCTGCTCTGGTGACCCACACGCTCAGCCGGCCCTGGGGGGTGTCCCCAAGGCCTTGGACCTCCTGCCCATTTCCAGGCTCTCCTTGATCTTGAGCCCACCCACCCCTCCTCCCCCAGCCCCCATGGCCCTGCTCCCTGGATCCCCGGGCAACCCAGCCTCGAGCAATGGCCAAGTGGGGCTGCAGACTGGGGTCCTGGACAGTTTGATGATTAGGCGGTTCTGTGGTGTGGTGTTGTGTGAAGTTGAGACTCCAGACTGAGTTTGTAAAATGTTCTGGTGCAGGGGGAGCCGGGGGAGAACGGATAGGTCTTGCCCACTTCAAGTCGTTACAGAGAGTGTTTCCAGTCGGTGGAGCTGGTCACACCACATTAAAAGTTGTGTGCCATACTGTGACTTGTAGGAAATGCACATCTGGGCATCCGGATGACCTGAATAGATCTCTCATGTGTATGTGGTCTTCATCCCCAAACCCCAGGACTTTGCAGTGATAGAGGGCGGGAGCGTGTCTTTTGTTACGTTAATGGAGACTTTAGACCCCTCCCCAGGGCTGGGGGGGTGCGGGTTGATTGCTGGGGCAACCAACCCTGTGATTCCAGGGTTGAAACTCCAGTCCCCCCACCCCACCCCCAACCTCTGGCTCCATAAAAACCCGAGGGGACGGGGTCCGGAGAACTTCCGGGTTGGTGAGCACGCGGAGATAGGGGGCAACGGGCCCTGGGGAGGTGGTCAAGCCCCATGCCCCCTCCTACACCTCACCTCCTGCAGCTTTTCCACTTTTCACCATATCCTTTACTGGTGAATGGGACTATACGGGTCTCCCTGAGTTCTGTGAGCTGCTCTAACCAATTAAAAGAACCAAGAACCAAAGGAGGAGGCCCGTTGGAACCTCCGGGTGATAGCCTGGGGCTGTGGCTGGCACCTGAAGTTGCAGGGGTGGGGGGCCTGGCAGACTGAACCCATCACCCGTGTGTGGGGTCTGACGCCGTCTCTGGTAGAAGGCGTCAGAAGAGAGCTGAATTCTTGCTGGTATCTGAGAATTGCTTGGTGTTGGGGGTGACTTTGGAATTGGGTCTGGGACCCGTCAAAGATCATAGTTCATAGGTTAAATGTTACGTGAAACATTAATAAGCAAATGTAGTTTTCTAGAACAAACACAAATGAGTAATACTGTTTCTTACCCCAAGTGAATGTTAAGGTTGTAAAACCCACTGCTGTAGTTCAGACGGCAGATTGGGGGTGATTTCGGTGAATAGATGTTGAGTTGAGAGTGATGAGACAGGACACACTGGGTGGGTGAACCGGGTCCTTACTGCGACCTGACTCCTGGGAGACCTGGGGGTCTTTACCGAGTGGGGGAAGGCATATTCCCTCCAGCCTTCATGTCTTCAGGACAGAACCCTGAGGGCTGGCTTAGCGCTTTCTGTTTTCAGAGCATCTTGTTGTCTGGAATAAAATGTGGGTACCCCTGATCAGATTTACATTTTTGCTATTGCAGAATAAGACATTCGGGGCCCTTAGTAATGCTTGCGCATGGTTAGTACTGTGTCCCACAGCCGCAGGCCCTGTGACTCAGGTGTGGCTGGGGCCTGGGGGTCACAGCAGGAGCATGGCCGCCAGCCCTCCCAGTGTGGTGCTGGTAGGTGCTGGTACCGTCCTGCTGGCTGGCCCCACCAGCCTGGTTATCTGCCGTTCCTTGGCTTTCTCGAGTTTGCCGTTAGCACAACTGTTCCAACAGATTCTGCCCGACTGCCCACACTGTATTCCTAGTCAGAAAACTCTTCCTGTCCGGGGGAGAGCACAGCCTGTAAGTTACTACTCAGGCCGCACGCTTTGGAGAGAGAAGGTTTCTAGACATTTCAAGCTGTTCAGAGGCAAACAATGTTTAAAGCTGCACTTGCTGAATTATTTTGTGGTCCATGGGCATAATTTGATGGGTGCTGTAAATGTAAAATGTGCACAAATGTAGGTCGAACCTTGTGAATGTTCTTTCACACCTTTGCAGCTACTACACTCACTTTTCTGAGGCGCTCCTTGGGAACTCTTTCACAGCCTGACACCCTTCCCTGAAGAAGTGCCCTGTGGTGACTTTGCCCCAGAACAAAGCACTGCATTTTCACCATAAGCTTCCCCCCCAAATTCCAGCCTTTATTCAGTTACTCATTTACATACCTTTAGCAAGTTTGTCTAAGTTTTTGACGAAGTTTCTAGAATACCACTTCCCAAACTTCGTTAAATGGGGCTGCATTTTCCTGCGTCCACTCTATTATTCTTTCTGCAGAAGCGTCAGCTGCTTACGGAAGACCCACAGGAAAAGAAAAAGTGGGATTCTCCTGAATTCTGTCTCTGTGGGTGTGCTGGGAAGCTGGCACTCCCCAGGTCAGGAGCCAGGGGACCCTCGGCACTCGCTTCCCTTATGGTCCTAACACTGCCGCCGATGCTTGTGGCGTCTGTGGGGCCTGGCCTTTCCCCACCCGGGCCTGTGGGATGCAGGGTACCCTATGGTCCCACTCATTCTGAGCTCTGTCTCTGTTGCAAACGTGAGCATCCTTACTGTATCCCAGAAGGTAACAAACACAGGTTCTGCCTGGGTACTGACTCGGAAACAGGCACATATCCCACATCTATTCTGTGCCCACCGGTTCCGAGAATGAAAACTACAGGGCCCTGCACTCCAGGAACTCCCGCCTAGGAAAGCACAGAGCATGATGTAAATGCTGGGCTGCTGGGCTGCGGAAGCCTTGGCCGCATCCCTGGGGCCCAGGGGCCTGGTGGGGAAGGCTGGGCGCCTTCTCAGGGGCTGCGATGCTGCATAGGGTCAGGTCACGGGAGAAGTTGGAAAAGGCTTTATGTGCAAGAAGCAATGTGATGTTTCAGAGGCCCTGCAGGTAGCTGACCAACGATTGGAGTGTACGTGTGGTGGGCGAGGGGCAGAGGTGGAGGCAGGAAGGGAAACGGGAGGAAGTCGTCACGGGCTGAATTTAGGTTATGGTCCAACTTAGATTTAACAGGAACTGTATAATCCCCAGAATGGATCGTGATTTCCACTGTGTTCACGTAAGGCCTAAGCTCTTCCCCCCTTCCCCCTTTATGATTATTATTATTTTTTACCATCAACACCATTTTAAGGTGTGCAGTTAAGTGGCACTTAGAACATTCACGAGGTTGTGCACTGTCGCTGCTCTCTTGTTCCGGGACATTTTCATCGTCCCCCAAAGGAAATGCCCCGTGAACATCTCTCCCCAGCCCCTCCCCCAGCAACAACTAATCCTCTGTCTGCCTCCATGGACTAGTTTATTCTGGAAATTTTGCATAAATAGGGAGAGTTGGAAAAGAAACCCTTGGCAGTAAGCTTGTGTTGTTACAAACTAGCTCAGCTGAAGGTAGAATTTGTGGGACCTGCAGGCAGGAGGCTAATGGAGGCCCAGGAGCTGGTGGCCGTCCCTGCCCCTGTCCTGTTCCCTCTGGCTACTCCCAGCTCATGGCACCTTCCAGACTCAGGGAGGGGGCTGCCTTAGCCTGAGGGGTCGCATCCCCAGGAAAGGGCAGGGCCCGCCCCCGGTCAGCAAGACTGGCAGATGGCAGTGGGGGTGCAGAGAGGCCGGGTGCTGGGCATCTGTCAGCCTTGGCCTTGGCCCTCGACACCTTGCTGTGATTTCCTCTGGGGAGCTGAGGTCTGGTACTCAGAGCAGGTGGAGAGTGTGCGTGGACAGTTCGGTGAGGGCCTCCCGAGAGGGGAGGAGCTGGGTTATTAATTGGCTGAAACCACTTGTGCTAAACGTGATGTCAAGAATAATTGAAGCTTGGGCACTCCGTGTGAGGATGGTGGCTGCCTTTTATACGTACGCCGAGTGGCACACTGTCGGGGCCGGGGCTCTGAGTGTGGGCCGGTGAGGTGGCAAGCCCTGGAAAGGTCTGACGGCCATCCCCCCGTCCGGCTCCTCCCTGCCCTTTGGCGCAGGAGTCGTGGGTTTTGTCACAGGAGGCCGCGGCCGCCAGCAGAGCGGAGGCCAGCGACGCATCTTGGCGCGGTTGGCCCCAGGTGCCCGGCCGTGCCCACCCAGGCCCCGAGTTTGCCAAGCCCTTGGCATTGCCTTTCCTTCTTTCTCCTGCTTGGTCCTGCTTTGGCTCCCATAGCCCCTCCTGCCCCGTCCTAGCTCCTGGCTCCTACCGGTGTCCCTAACCGAGCCCCCTCCCCGCCTCCCTGACCACCACCCTAGCAAGGCCGCCACGTTGGAGCCAAGCTCCTGCATGGGCTTCCCGGGGCCACCGACACAAATCACAAACCTGGTGGCCTAATGCAACAGAAGCTTGTTCTGTCTAATCGGTTTTCCAGGGCTGAAATCCACCTGCTGGCAGGGCCACACCCCCGGGGGCTGGGGGCAGGGCTGTGCCTTTTCCTGGTGCTGGCCAGCATTCTCGCTGGTGTGGACGCACACCCCAGAGAGGAGCCTCTGGCTTGATTTTCAGCAATCTCAGCAATCCTCAGACCCAGGAGGGTCGGGATTCCTTCCAGGCGACAAAGATCTGTAAGCAGCTCCAGCTGGGAGTTCGAATCTCTGAGCCTCTCCTTTCCTCCCCCTCGCATCATCCAGTGCAGTTAGAAGCTGTCAGCCAGTCTCATTATAGACGGTCTGCGACTTACGATGGCTCATCTTGGGATTTTCCACTTTACCGTGGTATGGAAACAATACGTGTTCCATAGAAACTGTACTTGGAATTTTCCTGTGCTGGTGACACTCGCTAGGACCTGAGCGTCTCCCAGGCAGCCACGTGGTCACAAGAGTCAGCAACTGAGGCCCTGACCACCCTTCTGCTCCCACACAGCCGCTCGGCTTCTCACCTTCAGGTCCGCATTCAACCAGTTACATGAGACATTCTGCAGCTTATTATAAAACAGGCTTTGTGAGAAGAGCGTTTTACCCGCCTGTAGGCTCGTGTAGGTGTTCCGAGCACGTTTAAGGTGGGCCAGGCTCAGCCGTCATGTCCGGGACGGTGGGTGTGTTGAATGCATTTTCCACTTAATGGTCTTTTTAACTTATGATGGCTTCATCTGGATGCAACCCCCTCGTACGTCAAGGGAGATCTGTGCTGGTCAATTTGACAAAAATGTCCTATGGTGCCCACCTCTTGTAGGGATTCCACAGGGGCAGACAGTGGCACCACCCTGCCCACTCGTGTCTCTACAGTCCATCCGATGTCTGGATCTAGAGTCAAGTCAGAAGATGTCCCTTGGGATTCTTGCCTCCCACGGCCTTTTTCAATATGGTAGCCAGGCTAACACTTCCATACCATTGGTCAGATTATGCCACACTGGTGCCCAAACCTGCATCTCATTCAGAATGACATGCAAATTCCCATCCAACCTCCCTGCCTCCCACGTCACCCCCTGCTCTCCTGGCACCCGCCACGCAGCCATGGCCAGCTGGCCCCCCAGGTCCCCAAGAACGTGGGCTCTGCAGGAACAGGGGACTAGCCTGCTTTGTTCTCTGCCGGTTCTCTACAGCCCAGCACGGCAGGGGCCGACCGCTAGTCTGTGAATGGAATAGTGTTACTTTCCCTAATTTACCGAGTTTTTGTAAGCAGCTGTCAAATGATCGTTATCTTCCCCCTCGCAGAACATTCTGGAAACAACTGGTGAAGCGCCATTAAGTGTGGTCAGCGGGAGAACAGGGGCTGCTTCAGATCCAGGTGACAGTGCCAACAGGTATGTCAGGGAGCCCTGGCTGAGCTCCGTTCTTCTGTACAGCATGGGGCCTTCCAAGGACCCGCCCGGGCCGGGGTGACGTAGGGGGTGCCGCCTGGGTTGCGGGAGACCGTGGACAGCATGCAGAACACCAACCGTGATGGAGGAAAGAGGGCCTCTTCTTGCCGGTTGAGAGAAATAGATCAGGTGCCATGACTAACCTCCCCCAGCACGTTGGGAACCATCCACGGGGGCACCGTGAAGACTGGGAACACCTCGGGCCTTGCCAGGGTCAAGGGCACTAGACCCTGTAGTGGGTGCGAAACACGCACACTTTAAAGCAGTAGCATTAGATGGGCCTTGAGCACGTGATGTGAAGCGGAATGAGCCAGTAACAGGGATAGATGTCATGGGCGTCCACTTGCATGAGGTCCCTAGGGCAGTCAGGTTCATAGAGAAGAAAGATAGGGGAGGTGGGGGAGACCCAGGCCAGGGTTGGACCTGGCAGCCGTCAGGGTGGCAGTGAGGCCCACGGGACCTGAAACTCCCTGGGCATTCCTGCAATGAGTATTTCTCCCTTCCCATGAGGGCACGGGTGCAGTCCTCAGAGGTTTCACACACGGACAGTAAACGTGGGTTACGTGGGTTGGGCTGAAGTCCAGACAGGAGGCAGTGGAATATCACGTGGGCCAGGACCTTTGCCAGAAGGCCAGGTGAGCCGGGAGCCGCTGTTTCCTGCCCAGGGTTGAGAGCACAAGAGCCAGAAGCAACCTTCCCCTGCCCGAAGAGAAGGTGCCCAGCCCTGTACCTGACGGCGGATGGCTCTGAGTGCCCTGGGCCTGAGCAGGGGATGGCGTCTGAATTCCCTGTACCTGAGGGGGGAATAGCATCTCAGTTCCCTATATGTGAGCGGGGGGGTGGCTCTGAGTGCCCTGTGCCTTTGGGGGGAATAGCGTCTGTGTCCTCTATACCTGAGGGGGGCACAGTTCTGAGTGCCCTGTACCTGAGGGAGGACAGAGTCTGAGTTCTTTGTACCTGAGTGGGGGATGGCGTCTGTGTTCCCTGTACCTGAGGGGGGACCGCATCTGAATGCCCTGGGCGTGAAGGGGGGTAGAGTGCTGAGTGCCCTGGGCCTGAGGCAGGGTCAGCTCTGGGTGTCCTGTACCTGAGGTGAGGCAGCTCTGAGTGCCCTGGGCCTGAGGGAAGACAGCCCTGAGTGCTATGTACCTGAGAGGCCTGGGCACAGTTCCCCTGTGCGGCTCACCGGGCCAGGTATATGGGGTTGTGACAGGGAACGTGATGGGGTCCCCCTAAGAGGGCCTCATCCTTGCTGGCTGTGGGTCACGGCCCTCGCATCCCTTTCCCGGAACCTGTGAATGGGCCAAACGCAGTGGGCAGTCGTCCTACACGGGAGTAGCCGCTGTGACCTCACGGTGAATGTCGTGGAGGCCTTGTTCTGCCTCAGGGCAGCCCACTTCCCCTGGACGGCAGAGCCCCTGTAGACAGTGACCTGCCTTCCGGGTCAGCCATCTGAAGCGGGGTCCCATCTGGGCACAGATTTTAGTCTGTGGCCTTAAATATGCTTCTCGTCAGTGAAACTCATCCCCGGAACACTGGTTCGGCCTCTACCTGCAGGGCACCCTGCTGTCACCCGAACCACCAAGGAGCAGGTGTGGGTCACAGAGGGGCCCCCCGGGAGAGCCGGGGAGAAAGTCGTGTTCAGATGGGCCCCATGAGTGAGGAAGCGTGGCCGTCCTCACTGTCCCTTTTCCCTTTGTGTCCAGAAACAACCAGGAACCTTCCGTTAAAATCTCCAGCTCCTGGAGCAGCCGTGGCCCGCGCCCCTGTCGCCAACGGATGTGTGTGGCTGGGAAAGTAAGCAGTGCCTTCTGTGGTCTTCCCCAGGTGGGTGTGTGCCCGACACGGCAGACTGTCTCCAGAAACCTGCTGGTGGGGTCAGGCGGCCCTGGGGCCTTTGGGCGAGCCGTGTGTCCAACTTCTGGGCCTTCAGACCCCGCTCAGGCAGTTGGAAAGCACAACCCGATTGGATCCTCAATAAGGAAAATGTACAGCACGTTTTTGCTGTCGGCCAGAGCGCCATCGCTCAGCTGTCCGCTTCCCTGCAAATTGGTAGTAGCTCAGCCGGGGAGCAGCGTGGACTCGGGGTGATACGGGTTCCCCAGGCTCCTGGTGGAACGTGCTGGAGGGTGTCCTGGGCGCTGTCTTGGCCGGGGTGCTGGCAAGCGTGAATCCTGTCCCCCTCCATGTGTGCGGCACACGGGGCCGGCCTGCGCCAGCCCAGCCGAGTCAGGGAGCCCTCGGCCTCACCGGGGCGCTCTATTCGCCGGCTTTCTCACGCGGCGGAAACCCGGAAACCGGTCCTGACTCCAGACTAGGCCACATCATCACCCTTCACTCCTTAACCTCTTAAATCCCAGTGCACCCGCCCTGTGGTGGGCTCCTGCAGCGTGACGGTGGGGACCCCCTCCTGCACCACGGGACGGCAGCGCTCTGCAGAGGACGTGGCCCCGGACCTGCTTCCAGGGACTGACGTCACGTCGGCCGCTGTCGCGATGGGGGCCCCGGTCGGGGCGCGTGCATCCACTGAAACCAGCGCCCCGATTTCACATTCTCCCACCTTGCCCAGAAGGTAGGGGAAGGGTGGCGCGGAGGCCACCGATTCGGGAGCCACACCCAGCAAGCCGGCAACTCACTGTCTTCCTGTCCACCTAGCAGTGATTGTAGTTGTGGCCAGCGCCTTGAGCCTCAGTGCCCTGGACCACACAGGTGGCCACCGTTGTTCCCACTGCCCCGGCACCCCCCACCCCAGCACTTCTCACCAGGTCGGTGATGCGGTGCTGCTGGCCCCAGGACCCCACTTTAGGAACCAGTGAAAGTCAGCCCTGCCCTCGGGTCCCATAGCGCTTGCTTCTGGGCGGGCTGTTACCCTCCTGTCTCCGTCCCTCCCAGTTGACCATCATGCTCTCTGAAGCCATCCTTCCTGTCCCCACACAGCTGCCTCGGCCACGATGGCTTGGTGTCCTGGCCTCGTCCCAAGCAGCTCTGTCCCCTCACTCAGTGTCTCCCTGGGGCCATCTCCGTGCAAGGTCCTGCCGACGCAGTTGATCCCGCCGTTCATTGCTTCCCAGAAGCTGACACTTGGGCCCCTCCGAGTCTGGGGTTTCGGGTCCAGGTGGCTTCCGATGCGAGTCTGTGTCTGCTCCTGGATTTCGGGGACGGCTGTGGAGTTCAAGTGAGGATCCGCGACGTGTCCGAGGGAACGGCGGTCACCGCCTTCCACCAGTTTGGGAAAGGTGGGTGGTCTGGCATCCATTTAGAGCACGGGCAGCGGGTGCAGACTCGGTGACACCCCACGGGTAGCCCCGGCCACACTGGGCCGGAGGAGACCCCGCTTCTCCCGGGGCTCCCGCACCCTCCGTGTCTTGGTAACACAGGCTCGGGGGCTGCACCGAGCCCGCCCCCAAGCACTTTCCCTTGCTGTGTCCTGCCGGCCCCACTGCTACCCTTCCCCACGTAGGGGAGGCGGGACGGGTCTGTCCTGCTCGCACACCTGGGGAGCCACGTGACCCTCCCCAGGGAAAGCTCTGAGCCACCGTGTGAACTGCTGACACTGTCCTTCAGGTGGGTGCACACGCACATGATGCTGCACACTTCATCGTTTGTACTAAAGTGTCGAACACCTTGCATGTAGGCAAAGTGACAAAAAACCTCTTTCTCCGGACACCGTGGCGCTGGGACCATGCTGCCCGGAGAAGGACCGAGTCCCCAGCACCAGTGTGGGGGGCGAGGTGGGTGGGAATTCTGACCTTTTCCTGCTCGCCAGCAGCGTGCAGCTTCCCGCTTTCTGTTTATCTTTTAAAATTATCTTTTGAACTTAGGACATCCTCATAGTTCAAGCCCCCACCTTACAGAGGCATGTGTGGTGATGGGTGTCCCCCCTCAGGGACCCCTGCTCTCTATCCCTTAGGCCTCTGGTGCCCGTACATGACCCTCTCTCCTCCTGAACACAGATGAGGGCGGCACTCGGAGCCCTGCTCCCCGCTGGCACACACGCCCGGCCACATCTTGGAGCTCCTCCCGCGTCCCCACAGGACGGGCTTCCCTGCCCTGCCACGTGCTGGGTGCACATTAATGTGCCCGAGTCTATTTAACCATGCTTTTTATCTGTACACATCGAGAGTTCTTCTAATCTTTCAATATCACAGACAACACCGCGGTGACTAATCACACGTGTGTGCCATTTTGCCACTTCAAAGAAAAGAGGGATTTTTGCCTCAAATGCTAAGTGCGTTTGTAATTTTTTTTTTTTTTACTTATTTTTTGAGAGAGAGTAAGCAGGGGGAGGGGCAGAGAGAGGGGGGACAGGGGATCCAAAGCAGGCTGAGCTGACAGGCTGAGAGCAGTGAGCCCGATGTGAGGCTCGAACTCACGAACGGTGAGACTGTGACCTGAGCCAGAGTCAGATGCTCAACTGACTGAGCCGCCCAGGCGCCCCGGGTGCATTTGTAACTTGACGGTTGTTACTAAACTGCTCGCAACAAGGGTTGGCTGGTTTCTAGTCCCCAGAGCAGCTCTCACTAGTTATTAGGTCCGACCATGAGAAAGGGCCAGCATCTGCCGTATTGTACCCAGAATAGCACTTTTGTGGCTCAACTCCCCATGGTGTTTGTATGAGCACTTTCGGTAATTACGAAGATTAGCCCTTTGTAGGTGATATAAGCTGCAACAGTTCTTTTTCTCAGTGTGTCGTTTGTGTTCAGGCTTTGCTTAGAGTTGTTTTTGCTTTTCATGCAGAAATTTTAATTTCTATCAAGTATACTCTATCTTTTCTTTTATGGTCTCTGAGTTTTAGCTCATAGAGAGGACACCCATCAGGTGTTATCTTCAGGTTGGTTGTCGTCGGGTGTGGAGAAGTTGCTGGTATTCGCTATTAACGTTGCACCGTTCTATCGCTCTGAGTGGCCACAAATCCTTAACCGTGAAGCGTATTCTTCAGTGTTTGTCAGTCACGTAAACATTATTTACAAGTAGTGATATGCCAACCCCGTACCCCCGGCCTGACACCTGTCCTTCCCTGTCCTACTTAATCACCTTGGCTGGGACTTCCTGAACAGGGGGCCTGAAGGGAGAGGATGGCGGCATCTTTGTCACGAGATGCTTTTAGTGTCGTTTGTTAAACTGGGTGCCAGACTTGGGACCGATGTAACTTATCAAATGTTAAGGAAATTTTCATCTTTGCTCTTTTATCAAGGACTTTAAAATTTTTTTTAATTTCAAATTCCAGCTAGGAATTGAATACCCGTGTTATGTTAGTTTCAGGTGTACAATATAGTGATTCAGCACATCCATGCATCGCCCAAGTGCCTCCTTCATCCCCAAAACCTGTTTCTCCCGCCCTCCTCCCTTCTGGTGACCATCAGTGTATTCTCTGTGGTTAAGAGTCTGTTTCTTGATTTGCCTCTCTCTTTTTCCCTTTGTTCATTCGTTTTGTTTCCTGAATTCTACATATAAGTGAAACCATATTTGTCTTTCTCTGACTGGCTTATTTGGCTTAGCATAATACTGTCTAGTTCTAGCCACATCATTGCAAATGGCAAGATTTCATTTTGTTTTATGGCTGAATAATATCTCATTGTACATATGTACCACATCTGTTCATTCACCTGCCGATGGACGCTTGGGCTGTTTCTGTAGTTTGGCTGTTGTGAAAATGCTGCAGTAAGCATAGGCGTGTGTGTATCCCTTTGGATTAGTATTCTTGTATTCTTTGGGTAAACACCTAGTAGTGCAAATGCTCCATCATAGTGTAGTTCTTTTTTTTTTTTTTTTTTTTAAATTTTTTTTTTTTTTTCAATGTTTATTTATTTTTGGGACAGAGAGAGGAGCAGAGCATGAAAACGGAGGGAGGGGAGGGGCAGAGAGAGAGGAGACACAGAATCGAAAACAGGCTCAAACTCTCTGTGTGCATCAGCCAGAACTGTGTGGGGCTCAAGTCTGAACCAGCGAGATAAGTGACCTATTTGAAGTCGGACTGACTTAACCGACTTCGCCACCAGAAGCCATCATAGTGTAGTTCTATTTATAATTTTTTGAGGAAGCTCCATACCGTTTTCCACAGTGGCTGCACCAGTTTGCATTCCCACCAACAGTGGAAGAGGGTTCCTATCAAGGACTTTTTTTTAATGTCAAGAGCCATGGGGCACCTGGCTGGCTCATTTGGTGGAGGATGTGACTCTTGATCATGGGGTCGTGAGTTCAAGCCTCATTTTGGGCTTAGAGCCTACTAAAAAAAAAAAAAATGAAATAAAATCAAGAGTCATCCAACTTGTGAAACCCTTTTCAATATCTGTGGAGCTGATCTTATGATTTCTTTCCTGCCTCTTTAGAGCTGTAAATATTAACCGACATCTTTCTGTTTTTTATTTTTTTTTAACGTTTATTTATTTTTGACAGAGAGAGAGAGAGCATGAGCAGGGGAGGGGCAGAGAGAGAGAGAGAGAGGGAGACACAGAACCCAAAGCAGGTTCGCGGCTCGAGCTGTCAGCACAGAGCCTGACACACAAGCTGTGAGATCATGACCTGAGCCGAAGTCGGACGCTCAACCGACTGAGCCCCCCAGGTGCCGCTAACCAGCATCTTAATACTGAATCACCCTGGAATTCCTAGGAGGGAAAACCCACTGGATTTGGGGGTACTGTTCTTCATGCTGCTGAATTCAGTTTCCCAACATTTTAGTTATGTTTCTTCCTCTGGTAATGACATGGGACTCGTCTGTAGTCACTAAGTTTTGTGTGGTTGTTTTGAATTTGGGGTATCGATGTTGTGTGGAGGTTTTCTTTATTCTTTTGTTGGTCTTGAAATGGTTTAAATAGCTTTGGAAATCATTACTCTGTTTTGGAGAATTTGCTGATAACTCTCTGAGACTGATACATACACACGCATATAGATGTTAATCGCCTCCATTTCTTCTATGCCACCTTCTATTTTATCCGTGGGAATTCATCTGTTTAGATGTTTTCTTCTTCTTCTATTTTTTTTTTTATTTTATTTTTACGGGGGCGCCTGGGTGGCTCAGTCAGTTGAGCGTCCGACTTCAGCTCAGGTCAGGATCTCACAGTTTGTG